CTCACTTTCCTGGCGGCCCAGAGCTTTTGAAGACAGTGTGAGCATGAAGGCACTTGCACGGCTTTCTTAGGAAGCAGAAGTAGATGCTGTTAATAGTAACCTGCAATCTTGCATTTACTCAGTTAAAATTGTATTCATCAGTTCCTGTTTTCTTATATTGAAAGCCATCTGCTTTATCTTTTAAAATGTCATTTAAATGAAGATATCAAGGTTTATTCATGATTTATAGTTAAAATTCTGTAAATCTTTTTTCTACTGAAAGCTGATTCTTTGTTCGCACTCTGACAGTGGTTGAGGTTAAGAAGGTATCAGGGCTCGTTCCCATGACCTGAGATCCTAGGAGCTGGGACTCGTGGGAGGCGGAAAGCACTGCAGGCTTTCCCCTGGTCACACACAGAGCCCCCTGCCTTTAGTGCCTTCTGCCTTGGCTCTCGCCTGGAAATGATCCCTCCTTGCGGCAAATTCTTCATCACAGTCACCTGCATATGTCATATGCACAGCTTTTACATCTTTGGAAAAGCTTCGAGCCTGTGCTTGAATATAACCTCCCCCACCCCGGCAAGTCGCTGTGACTCACAGCCCCTGTCTCGGGCATCCTGGGCTGCCGGCCTTCGCAGGAGAACATGGTCCGGCGTTCTCCCCGTTAGCCCAGCTCTCAGCAGCCCTCCACACGAGCAGCGTGTTCCTGCTAACTTACAAGGTCTTACGGTCACGGCCAGGAAGGGGCCTCCTGGGAACTGCCCGTGTGGCCTTTGCTTTAAGAGCAGATGTGATCCAGGATGTGGAATTGCTGTGGGGCCAGGAAGAGGCACAAGCTCCACAGAGAATGGAAGGGTCCTCAGGAAGTCAGAACTGGCCTGAGTGGATGTGGAGGAGGAGGAGAGGGGTTAGAAGGGCGACACCCCGCTTCAGATCACCCTCACCCCAGTTTATTGCTCTGTCCTACTTTAGAGAGTAACTCAGTGGGGCTTTTGGCAGGACAGGAAGTCACAGGTCTTTAAGGACACACCAGGGCATCCCCAGGCAGCCCTGCTGTGGCCACCTGGTGTCCTGGCAGTGTCTGTATGAGGTGAGCATCCGCACGGTAGGTGGGTGGTCCTGCTGGGGTTCATTCTCAGTGTCCTGGGGTGAGCGGACTTGACCCTGCATCCTTGCACCCTGACTCGTATTTCACGTCCTGCTTCTGGGCATCAGCCAACAAATGAGCATCTGCCCCCCGTGGGGGTGGCCTCGCCTGCCAGCCCTCCACGGGGTGCCAGCCCTCCACGGGGTGCCAGCCCTCCACGGGGTGCCAGCCCTCCACGGGGTGCCAGCCCTCCACGGGGATTCTTGCTTTTGCTGTCCATTTGTATATTAGCGTAGTTGAGGGAGTTTCTTCTTATTTGGTGGAAATGAGTGCTGAATGGCAGATTCAGAATATCAGCATAGAGAAATGTAGGTTTCATCAACTTGTAACAGCAGAGACAGATGGAGGTGATCACTTAAGTCTCATGAACTTGTTACATAGGGGCAAGGAGGCAATTGATAGGTGGATCGCATGAACTTCTTACAATAAAGACAGAGATGGAGTTGATTAGGGCCATGCTGGGTCTTCAGCTTTTTCCATGTTTGTTAGACTTGAGGGTCCCAACTTGGGGGACAAAGTGTCAGGAGGAACTGCATGTTTTCTTCTTCATTCACCAGCGTAGCTTTTCCTCCGCATCGTGCGGACGCCTGCTGTTTGACATTCTCTCTCGCACACAGTTTAAGGAGAGCAGCAGTGTGTAAACGTGCTGCTAGAGACGCTTTATTTCTGTTGCTACGTGACATTAGTTGTAATATTTTACATTTCCAAAAGAGATTTCTATTTTGTATTTCCAAAAGGAAGTATCATATACGTTGTATGCCAAACTTAAATTGCACTGACAGTGAAACATTTCTATGAAAAATAGCAATAAATGACAGGCAGCTCTCAACCATCCATTCTAACAAGAGCAGAGACAAGCTTGTCATGGTAGTAAATTAAAATCACGTTATAACATGGCATATAGTCAGAAACACATTCTCCCACCATCGCCGGCCTTCACTTCACGGCCCAGGTGTCAGCAGTCAGTGAGAACCCCAAATCTCATCACCCACGAGCAGACCTGAGAGCTGTGCCAGAGTATCAGGAAGGGCCTCCCAGCTGGGGCCCCCTCAGGTCGCGTCCCACCTCCAGAGTGTGGCCATGTACATGCTGCTTAATCTTGGTCAGCCCATTTTTTCTTCTGTCCAACAAAAATGGTGATAAGGGTCAGAGGACCCACCTACCTCCAATTTTAAAAAGTTGATGATGATAATGGTAGGAGGGTTTATCAGATTGCTGGTTAACGCATGGAATTGTTCCAGAGTTCCTTTGTAACTTAATTTGTTTCCATAAAGAGTTTTACCTTCCCTACAGTGAAGAAGGCATTTTCTAATGTATGTGTAATTTACTAATTGATTTAAAAAGTTTTTTTATTATCACTAATTTTAATGAAAATTTACAGACTTTGGATTTCCATTCATTTATTGTTGCACTTTTCTCCCTGCCCAGCCCTCTCCTCCACCGTACACTCCTCTGTTTGAAAAGAAAAATTCTTTCATTTTTTTACAATCCATCGTTCCAGGTCCACTCCACTATGCAGTCTTTGCTCTGGACTCCTGTCATGACAATAAGACCCAATCACATATCCCTCTTAAATCGTTTTTCTCCCTCATCTGTTTCAATGCAGTATACATTATTGAACCCATCTTTCTCAGTCTCCCCACAAGCCCAATGTCAGTCCTGTTTTACAACAATGGCACCATGCAGTATTTGTCCTTTTATGACTGAGATACTTCACTCAACATAATGTCCTCCAGAATCACCCATTTTTAATAATATTGCATGAGTTCCTTGTTTTTCAATGCAGCATAGTATTCCATTGTGTGAATATACCCCAGCTTCTCTTCCCATTCATTTGTTGATGGGCACTTAGGTTGTTTTCAACTCCTTGCTACTGTGAACAAAGGTGCAATAAACATGGGTGTGCATATATTTGCTTGGATGTCAGTTAAGGTTTCTTTAGGGTATATTCCCAGTAGAGGAATTGCTGGGTCAAATGGTATCTCTATTTGCAACTTTTTTAGAAAGCACCATACTGCTTTCCACAGGGGTTGCACCATTTTACACTCCCACCAGCAGTGAATAAGGGTTCCAGTTTCGCTGTTCTGTTAAATTTTGTTATTCTTACTGGGGTGAGATGATATTTCATAGGTGCTTTAAACTGATTATTTTTATGTTACAAAAGGATATAAAGATAATGGGAATCAGTGTTAGCGTATTAAAAGTCAAAGCCAATGACTAGGATCAGTATCCAAACGTTTAGACCACGGACAGAGAGTCCAGTACTTGCTTTGTCGATGTATTCTTGGAAGGACTGGGAAGGGTGTGGGGTGGAGCTGCTCTGTGTAGAAGGCGGAGAGCAGAGTGGTCCCGTCTGTTGGGCCTGTCTCTGCCCAGGCCGTCCCAAACCGGGACACAGCTGTAGGGAACACGGCAGGCGCTCAGGAAGGCACGCAGTTGCTGTTCATCACCTGGCGGGATCTGCGGGCAGACAGACACGCCAGTTTGATTTTCTCTTGCTTTAAATAAGCCTTAATTGCATCTAAATTCCAAAATCAATCTCCATAATAGTCTATGTGTTTCCTACTGCCAAAGGGGCCCTTTAGAGTAGTGAGAGAAGATCTTCACCCTGAAACCCACAGCGTCCCTTTTCAGCAGGAAGTAGCTAAGAGAATACGCCATCCCCTTTTCCTTATGAATCAGGGTGAAGTCTCTCTCAGGGAGGAGTGATAGGGAATGGCAAAGGGACACACTGACTAAGGAGATTAATCAGAACTGGCTTTGACAAGCACTGTAGCAATTGGACAAATAACAGACATGGGGGGGGGAAGAAGAACGAACTGGGGAGGAGGGTGGAGAAAACAGTGCAACAATGAATGAATGAATGAAAACCCAAAATCTCTGTAAATGTTCATTAAAACTAATAAAATTTAATTAAAAAAATAAATAAATAAGCCTTAAGAATCACAATGTGAGCGTGAATCCTTCAGTGCCAGCCAGACTGGCCTCTGCATCAGGACAGCAGCAGTCTCAACAAAGAATCAGAGGCCAACGTGACAGAGAGCTGACTTGGCAACAAAATGCCCCAGTGCACTTGCTCGCAGCTTGGGGAGAACTGAGCGAGACACTGAAAGCAGCTGGACTAAGGGAACTTTGTCACACTGCCCAAAGCCGCGGCACTGACGGTCGAGGGAGCGGCACCCACTCGTGAGCCTGTCTGGGTTGAGAGACTGTACCTGCTGCCCACCTGGATTAAAGTCCGAGTGGTAACCTGTTCACTTCCCTACTAAACTCCACAACCATGTGATTCTGTGACATCCTTGTGGTGCTGCAAGGGACTGTAGACCCAAGAGTAAAGCAGTGACAGCCTAGGAGGGTACAGTTGATGTTAGACTTGGGAGGAATAAGGCGGGAACTTGGGGGACATCCAGCCTCAGGAATCTGTCATATGCTGGTCATGGTGTCAATGGGACTGTTCCTTCCTGTGAAATGAGGGCAAGGCGGTCAGTCAGAGACACTCACCCCTATGCCCTCATTTTTTTTCAAAACTGATTAGTATGTATACATTTAGTATAAGAAATTAAACAACTTTTATACCAAGTAAAAAAAAAGGAATTATAATGTGAGTTCTGAAAGTTAATATTATACCACCCTGCCCGTCCTTACTTAAAGTCTGGAGCTCTCCTCAGTGCTCAAATGGCCTTTGACTTGCCTCTGTGAATTTCCTCCTTAGAACAACAGTTTAAATGCTCCTCATAGATTAAGTATTAGCAAGACTCCTTGGGGAAGGACCCACCCCAAAGTCAGTGTTCTCTCAGCACACTGAAGTGTTCTGGGGTTTGCTGAAAGGCTGGGGATAAAGAGCCAATGTTGATGGGTTTTTGTTCTTTTCAAGTTGGACGTCGATGGTCAGATAGACTCCGTCCATCTGTTCCTGTCACCGCGGCAGGTGCACTTGCTCTTGGACATGTTAGCGGCCATTGCTGGACCAGGCAAGTAGAACTCTGTTACTGTTCTTTTTTGTGCTTTTTCACTGTGGTTAATGCACACATGCTGCTGAGTGTCTTGCCATGTGCAGGCGAGTGCCCAGTGGCTGTGGGCTTCCAGTGGGGTGACCGTCGGCATATCTGTTTGCAGTTTTCCACCCGGAGCTAAAGCTCAGCCCCTCAGCTCTGACTTCCCCTTCCCTCGGTTCCCTGGGAACCACTCATCTGCTTGGCTTCTGTGCCTTTTGCCTGCTGTGGAGATTTTACTTACATGCACTCACAAACTCTCTGTCCTTTTGTGACTTCTTTCACCCAGTTCCATGTTTCCAAGGCTCATTCGTGTCGTGACCAGGTCAGCACCCCTTTTCTGTGTATGCATGACTCATATTCCATCAGGACCTCTGATGGCTTAGCGGGAAGGAGCCGCACTTCCAAGCCAAAGGCACACAATTCGAATCCACCAGCTGCTCCCCAGGAGAAAGATAGGCTGTCTCCTCCCGTGTGATTTACAGCCTCTGAGCTGGTTCTGATTCGACGGCACACAACAGCAGCAGTGTTCCATTGAACGTGTGCACCCGTCTATTTACCCATGCATGTGTCCCCTTTGGCTGCTGTGACCACTGGTGTCCGTGTGTCTGTCTACAGTCCTGCTCTCATGCGTTCTGGGTCTATGCCTCACAGTGGGACTGAGTCACACATAGTGGTTCTGCGTTTAGCTCCGTGGCGCTGTCACTGTTCTCCATGGTCCAGCTGTACTGCTTTCCTTTACCCCTCCGTGGTGCCCCCAGCTTCTCCAGAGAAGACTCACCACTCTCCTTCCCCACAGACCTCCCACCCTGTGTGGTGCCCACAGCTTCTCTGTGGTCCAGCCGGCTTTCCTTTCTTTTCTCATAGCAGTGTTAGTGGCCAGAAGTTACATCTCATGATGATTTTAATTTGTTTTGCCCTAATGACTGATTAAGGGTATAGGATGCTGTTGGTTAAAGCTGTTGGCTGTCTCCAGGAAGGCTGGTGTTTGAAGCTGCTGGCTACTCCACAGAGGAGGCTGAAAGGACTTAGCTCCGGGGTGGCGGGAACCCCTGGAGTTCCTCTGACTGCTTGTTGACTCAAAGGCCTTTTGATTAGTTTGCTCTGAGCGTCTTTTCTCATTTGTATTTCTTTTTGTTAAAATGTGTTCAAGTCTTTTGCCTGTTTTTTAATTGGGTTGTCCTTCTGTTGTTAAGTTGTAGGAGCCCCTTTATGTATTCTTGATGTCACAGCCTTAGGTGTGTGGATCTGAGGCTGATCTAGAGAAGCGAAGGTGGTACATAAGGAGACAGCTCGCACATGGGACAGCTGGGAGCTGATGCCTTATGTAGGGGTAGCAGGTCTGAGAACAAGTAGGGCAGGGAACCCCAGAGAAGAGAGGAGAGGGAGAGGGAGAGGTCCCTCCTGTTGCACCATGGGGTCCTGAACCCCTCAGGCCTTGTCACCACACAGCTCTAGTACCAGGCCAGACGATGCTGGCTGTGGCTTCCTGGAGTAGGAGAGCATATAGGTTCCAGATGAGCTGATCCAGTCTGTTTTGAAGATGGCCGGACATGTACAAATTTGAGTCTGGCCCAGGGAAAAGTGAGATGACACAGAGGCCATTTTTCACTTGTTAATACTTTGCTGACAAAGCCCTTTAGGAACAAAAAGTTTCCTTTTTGTTAAATTCTGTTTCTCTCTTTTTGTCTTTCATTGTATGCCTTCCATATCATATCTAAAACATCCCTTTAAAGTCTGGGTTTTGAAGAATTATCTTTATATTTCTTAGAAGGCTTCAGTTCTTACATTTAGGTCTCGGCTTCATTTTTAGTTGATTTCAGGTAGAGTGCGAGGAGCTGTGGGTTCGTGTTTGTTCTTTTGTACGTGGACATCCATCTTACCTGGTTACCGTTTATTAAAGAGATCATTCTTTCCCCATTGGATGAACATAGCATCCTTATAAAAAAAATTAATGGACCTTAAACGTGCAGATTTATTTCTGAACTCTCAACTCTGCAAGCCTGTATGCCTTTATGCCAGGAACAGGCCATTTTTATTTTTGTAGCTTTATACTATATTTATATATTTGCAACGAATAAATCATTGATTGAACATAATTCTGTCAGTCTCATTTCTGTTTCCAAGACTTTATTTTCCAACTACCAGTCCTTCAGGAAGCTCTGATGGCCCAGTGGTAAGAAGCTGCGCTGCAGTCCTGAAGGTTCAAATCCACCAGCTGTTCCCTGGAAGAACGGTGGGCAGACTCCTGTTTGATTAACTGCCTCTGAAAACCCACTGAAGGGTCAGTTTGGATCCGTTCTGATTCGATGATACACAACAACAATCCTTCTTCATTATTTCCAACTTTTGCATTCCAGTTACAAATTATTATTACAGCATCAAATTACATATTTGAGCCCTTTCAGACTGCAAAACTTTGTCAAAATTATCAAGTTCTTCATCTTGGATTTATTAATTGGTACCTATATTTGAGAAATAGCTGTATTAGCAGGTTTTCTTTGTATGGGTTTGTGTAATAGCCACTCAGTCATACCGCTGTACTGACGGGTAAATCTGGAAATCTTTGACTATGAATGTGAGACAATTCATCTTCAACTTGCCCTTCTCAGCATAGTCCATCATACGACACCTAATTAAGAATGGCCAACACCACTCTACCTCAGTGCCCAACCTGTCAATCTTTGAGTTCCATTTTCATTTGTAACAGCTTCCAACTTTCCTAGATTCATACTTCCTTCCGTGTGTGTTCCACTTCGTGAGCGTTTGCAGCTGTCCTCATCTTCTGAGTGCCTTCTAACCCGAGGGCCTTGTCTTTAAGTTCTGTATCCAACAGATTCCTTTGAGCTGTGGTGTTAGCAAAGGGTACTGCCCCGTGGCTGCTAAAAGAGCAAACCCATCTGTCTGGAAGGAATGCAGCGGGGCATTCCTAAGAGGCCAGGATGGTGAAGCTTCCTCTCACACACTCCGAACGTGTTGTCAGGAAGGGCTCATCCTGGGGAAGACATGCTGGAAGAGCAGAGTCAGCAAAAGAAAGGAAGTTCCTTAGCCGCATGGATTGGCCCAGAAATGGCGACAGTGCGCTCGCACGTACGGAGGTGGTGATGCTGGCACAGGCAGGGCAGGGTTCCGTCTGGGGGTCTTGGGGTCGCTGTGACCTGGAGGAGATTCGATGGCACCTAACAACTCAGTTTAGAGATTGGACTGTGGTAGCCTCGTTTCATTCTTCTTTTTCAAGATTCCTTGGGCTATTTTGGACCCTTTGTGGTTCGATATAAGTTTAGGATTAAATAAATAAACAGCAAAAAGTGCTGTTAGAATTTTGATGGTTATCGCATCAAATCTATAGGATTCTTTAGGTAATGTTAACATTAGATCTTGTGATCTGTGGACATAGTTTGTCCTTCCATTTATATTTTTAAAATTCCTCAATAATATTTTCCAGTTTTCCATGTACTTTTCTTTCACTTCCTCAGTTAAATTTGTTCCTAGTTTATTCTTCCAGATAATTGTAAAGCGTACCATTTCCTTAATTTACGTTTCCAAATGCTCATTGCTTATGTCTAGAAACCAGAATAACATCTTGTGTTGGCCATATAGCTGGCCACATTATGGCATTTATTGAATATGTGTATTTCTTTATTTAAATAAGTTTAATATATTAAATAATTAAAATAATTTACTAGGTATTGTTTTGGAAGCAGGAGCGGCATCCAGTTCCTAAACAACAGGAAACTCTATGAACTTTGAGAAGCAATGATAGTTATAGGAAGGCTTCAGGTCTTTTGTTCACAGGATCACTGTGAGTCGTACTCGACAGAACAACGTATATGTTGTTGTTATTGAGTATCATAGAGTCAGCACTGACCCATAGCTGACGTTCCAGCAGGCTTTCAGAGGCAGTTCATCGCAGGAGGAGATTGCCCATCCTTCTCCCTTGGAGCAGCTGGTGACCTCGAACTGCATGCCTTTGGGTTTGCAGCACAGCTTCTTGCCCCTAGGCCACCAGAGCTTCCTATAATATATCTATTATCTGTCAGCTGCAAAAAAGGATAGTTTTATTTCTTCTTCCCAATTTCAGTTCCTTTTTTCTCATGTCCTGGTTTTTCTGGCTGGAGCTTCCCATGTAATACCTACCAGTTAGCAGTGGGGACAGTAGAGTCCTTGGTCCTTGTTCAGATCTCAGAAGGAATGTGCTTGTTCTCCTCTCATCAAGGGCAAGGGCAAATGCAGGAAGGAGTCGCCCCACTAATCCTAGCTTGTTGAGTGAGTGTTTTGTTGTTGTTTATCATGAGAAGGTGTTAGATTTTGTACAAAGCCTTTTCTGCATCAGTTGAGACGATTCTATGGTTCTTTTCCTTTATCTTGATATGGTGAAAAACAAAATTGATGATTATACACGTGGACCTCACCTGGTGGACTACATAGGAAACAGATTGACTACATCTGTGGAAAGTCGATGGAGAAGCTCAACGTCAGCAGTCAAAGACAGACCAAGAGCTGCCTGGGAACAGACTGTCAGACACTCAGGTGCAAGTTGAAATTGAAGCTGAAGGAAATGAAAGCTAGTCTGTGAGAACAAAAACGTGACCCATCTCAAGTGAATTTAAAAACCAATCCAAGAATAGATTTGATGCATTGAACACTAATGACCAAAGGCCAGGGGAGGGAGGAAAGGAAGGAAGGAAGGAAGGACTAAGACTGATGACAGAAGAGACTCTAAGATTTGACTAGAACATAGGTCAGAACAAGGGGAAGAAATGCTGAAATAAGAGAGATGAACAGAAAATTTTGATGGGCAGCTCAAAAAGACAAAGCAAAGCATTATAATGAAGTGTACAAAGTGCACATACTTTTGTTGTTGTTGTTGTGCACTGTGGAGTCCAGACCGACTCATGGCTGACAGAGTTTTAAGAGGCAGTGAATCACATGGGAGGAGAGTGCCCATCCTTCCCCCTCCGAGCAGCTGGCAGATGCAGGCCTCCTGCCTGTGTTGACAGCACAGTTCCTCACCATAGGCCGCCAGACCCTAATCGTACATTTGTCGTGGTTATTAGGTGTCACCTAATCGAGTACCACCCATAGCAACACCATGAACGATAGACCTGACCCCTGTCCTGTCCTGTGCCGTCCTCATCGTCTGCAGTCACTGTGTCAGTCCGTCTGTTTAGGGGCTTCCTCTCTCTTGCTGACCCTCCACCTTTGAAGCATGAAGTCCTTTTTCAAAGAAACACCTTTCCCAACAACATGCGCAAAGTATATTAGATGAAGCTTTGTCATCCTTGCCTCCAAGGAACATTCTGGCTGCGCCTTCTCAAACAGATCTGTTTGTCCTTTTGGCTGTCCATGGGATGTTCAGTGCTCTTTTCCAACACCCCAGCTCAAACGCATCAATTCTTCTTTCAACCTTATTCATTGTCCAACTCTTAGATGCCTAGTAAATGATTGAAAAGACCATGGCCTGAATGAGGCTCACCTTAGTCCTCAATCTGACATCATTGCTCATCCGTAATTTGGAGAGGTCTCTGACTCCGGACTTCCCAGTGCACTGTTCCTCCTGATCTCCTGGTACCAAGGGTATTGACTGTGGATCTGAATAAGGCTAAGTTGTTGACAGTTTGTATCTTTTCTGCATCCGTCTGATTGGTCCAGTGGTGAGCATTTTTGTTTTCTGGATGTTAAGAAACAATCCATATTGAAGACCATAGCCTTTGATCTTTGCTGTGAATGCTTCAAGGCCTCCTCACTTTAAGTAAGCAAGTGCTGAATCACATATAGCAAAGTTTCATATTTTCAAGTGTGTGTATCATAAAAAACCAGCTGAACTCGTGCTGGTTGATGAGTCAGTTCCAACTCACAGCACATTCGCAGAGCCGGGCAGGACTGGGTCTCCGTGGGCTTCCAAGGCAGTGAGACCTCATAGAAGCAGATCCCTCAGCTTCCTCTCTTCAGGCAGTCAGTGGTTTCAAACTGCCAGCCTGTCAGAGAACAGTCCAACGCTTGGTCTCCATGCTGCCATGCTCCCAATGTACTTGAGAACCCTAGAGTCAGATATGGCTGGGGGTTCGAGTTGTGACGTGGCACAAATTCACATTCATTGCTTCATTAATTTGTGTTCTGTGCCGGGTCGGCTGGTGGGAGGTGCTGCTTCATATAACTGAGTAAGCATAAGTGTTGAACACAGTAAGTAGCACATATTTTGATAAGTTTTTTTAAAGTCCTGTCTGTCAGAGACAGAACATTGAGATTGCTGGCTGATGGCTTGAAGCTTTGACCTCCGACTGGTGACTCTGCCGTTCAGGCACTGTGAACTGAGACTGGTGAGATTACAGCACAGCAGTAGTAACTGCACTGACTGGTAATAATGATAAGAATATTAATTTTTTTTTAAATTTTTGCACTGGTGATACAAGTTGCCATTGCTAATAATAATAATAAAAATAAATTGTGCTGCAATCTCAAAGGCATGAAGTTCAAATCCAGCAGCTGCTCTTTAGGAAAAAGATGGGCAGTCTCCTCCCGTTCCGTTCACTGCCTCTGAAAACCCACTGGAGGACCAGCAATGAGTCCCTTCCGACCTGATGCCATGTAACAACTGCAGTGGTCAACTACATGTAGGGAGAGAAGTCATTAACTAAGAAATGTTAACATTTGCTCTCCTCCTGTATACTCGTAGAAAATTCTAGCAAAATAGGATTATCTAATAAAGATAGAAAAAATCGACCCATGCAGCAAGAAGATGAGTATCGCGTGCAGATGGAGTTAAACCGGTATTATCTGAGGAAGGACTCCCTGTCTGCGGGGGCATCGTCAGAGCACAGCTTTTACGAGACGGAAACGGCTCGCACACCTTCTAGCCGCGGTAAGAGCGACATTTTATCAAAAGAAAAGCAAACTGCTTTGGGGACTACTCTGAAATGGGGCTTCCTGCTGCAGCAACTGAGAGACACATGCTGTGAGCAAGTTGTCTGAGTTGCTCTGGCCACGTTAGATGGCTGGGGGTGGGGCGAGGGTCTGAAGTGTTCTGGCCACATTAGTGTGTGTGTGGTGGGGGTGGTTACAAAGTGTCAGAGTTGCTCTGGCCACGTTAGGTGGGGAGGACGGAGATTTCTCAGCCAGGTTAGATGGGAGGTAGCAATAGGTGACTCACTGTTCAGTTTTATGTGCCCATGTTAGTGACCTGAAGTGTTGTCAAGACCTCATGCAGAGCACCTGCTGTAAAACACATCAAAACCCTGCCCATTCTGTGCCAGCTCACAGCACCCCCGGGCTCAGGCCCATTGTTGCAGGCCCTGCCCACCCCGCACCAGCTCATGGTGCCCCCAGGGCTCAGGTGCATTGCTGCAGGCCTGAGCCACCTTTCACCAGCTCATGATGCCCCCTTAGAATTCAGCATCATTTCTACCAGCTCGTTCTGCATTGACAGCTGTTTAGGAATGTGTAATCACTTCTAACATTATCCAAACAGAAACCCAAAATTCCACATCCTCGCTCCCCTTCAATACATCTGAGTCCTGGTGACCCTCCGGGGCAGTCAGCGTGTCCCACTGGTGTCCAACGCTATGAGTCTTTATGGACCAGCTGATGGACTTGAACCACCCACCTTTCAGTTAGCAGCCTGACACTTTTATGCACTGCACCATTAGGGTTCCTTTATAATACTAGAAATAATAAAGAGAACGATGAGATCTCAAAACAACTAAAGCATTAAAACGTATGAAGGAAATGTGACTATTTGTGTGAGAATAAGGCACAGGCTATAGAAAGGAAGGACCAAAGCACCGGGAATGCGATATTGTCCGCTGTGTTTGGCTGTATCCACATGGAATTAGAGATGTCAAGAGATGTACACTGCTGTACAATATGGATATTTATCTTCTAACTTTAAATAGAACTCAGGAAAACAGACTTTGTAATAATGTGTATCATATATTTTACAAAGACAAGTTCACTAGTCTAGTCTTAACATTTTATTAACCTGTATCCTTTTGTTTTTTTGCTATACTCTTAATGTCTTAGGTCCTATAATTTGTTCCATCAGAAATAACATAAAATTGGGAATCTCCCCATAGCTCAAGTAATTTTAAGGAAAAGTGTTAAAGAATCCGAGTGGTGGACGTCATAAACCTTCCTTCTTTCTAGACGAAGAGGTTTTCTTCTCCATGGCTGACATGGACATGTCCCATAGCCTCTCTTCTCTCCCACCACTTGGCGACCCGCCACACGTGGACCTTGAGCTGTCCTTAACCAGCACCCCCACAAAGACGCCTGCAGGGTCGCCACTGAGTGCAGCTGTGGTAAAGTATTGCTTGGTTCTGGGATTCTCCTCTTGAAAAGTTGCTGTCCGAAGTCTGGGCTGTTTTCACACACTTTGTGATAAACCTTTTATAGCTCCAGCCGACTTGGGGAGAGTTCCTTGATCGTCAGAAAGAGCAGCCAGTGAGGGGGTCCCCGCTCCCACCCCACCTCGGCCACACAGCGTCTCTGCAGAAGACTGGTGAGTGGGCAAGTGAGGGATTGTCCCCGGGCTCCGCTGGAATCTGTGAAGACGCTTGAGTTTCGGGGTTCTTTCCTTATTTAAGGAAGAGCTTACAAGTTATACTAGGTTTTCATTCACATGCCTTTTGCTTTGGGATTTTTTTTATCAGTTTACATATAATCATTCGTGTACATTTTGGTTTATGGCTTCGTAATTACAGTTTTATTGGCTCATCCATATTTTCTTTTGTAACATTAAGTACCATGGATTCATGTAATGAATTAATTGCATTGTCTAATCAGCCCCTTATTGTGTATTGCCTTTTCCTTCACTCAATTTGTCACGTTTTTTGAGTTATTCTTTTATTTAAGTGAAGATTTACAAATCCTATTGCTTTTTCGTACAATCATTCATAGACTTTGTTTCATAGCCTTAATTACCCTTGAGCGAGATGATGGGGTTGTTAGGTCTGATCAACCCCTTTTGGTGTGGTGTGCCCCATTCACCCAGCTTCTCTGGGGTTCAGACCAGCCCACTGCTTTCCTGAGTGCTGCCCCCACTGGCCGCTCTCTGCCTGGTTCGAATGCAGCTCCTGCAGTGACTCTTGTCCACCTGCCCACCGTCACCTGGTCCCTTCCCTTCCCCTGCTGGCCTGTGAATCAGCCTGTGGGAGGATGACTGTGGGGACAGGTGCTGGGGATGGGCCGTGTCATACTGCTCTGATGTCTGTCCCTCTTGCACAGACGAATCTGTTCGAGAGGAGATGCAACCAGGGTATTTCTTGGAGGCGAAGCCGGTGGAACTTCCCTCACGGACTCTGGGCATGTGCTCAGGAGGGACCAGTCCTTGGAAAAAGGCCTCCTGCTGGGAAAGTTAAAGGGTCAGGAAAGCGAAGAAGGCCCTCCTAGAGGCTGCGTGGCACAGTGACTCTCACAGCACGCACAGCATCAGGCAGGGCCAGATCTGAGGTTTCCACGACCACTGCGGGTCACAGGCAACTTGACGGCACCTAGCAGCCACCACCCATGAGGACATATGTGGTCATTTTGAGATCCCAGTTTGTTTTGAAGTGTGGGATGTTCTGTGAATAATTTTACCCTGTGTATTTCAGCTCTCCCGTCCAGATCCGTTACTGTGGATGAATCCAGGCCTGAACTGATTTTCAGACTAGCTGTGGGCACTTTGTCTATCTCTGTGCTTCACATTGATCCTTTATCTCCGCCGGAAACGTCCTCGAACCTTAATTCCTTGACGTCCATGGCCACCACGTTCTTTGCTTGCATAGAGAAGATGGGTCCTGCAAGGCCTGCAGCTGACGACATCGGCGCCCTCCGAGCAGCGTTCGCCGAGGCGTGCTCCCATGACCACCTTAGGTGAGCACCTGCCTGCGTGGGATGTCTGCCTGTCTCGTCTGTGCTAGAGTCCCGCTTGTCGTCAGTGGGGGGTCCTCGCTCTCCTGCCTGGATGCTTAGTCCAGGGTCTGCCGTTCCAGCCCTGACAAATGCAGGAGTGGAGATGAGATCTTGATCACCTGCAGTTCTCGAAAGATCCTCTCTGGAGCTGCGTGCCCTGCTCTGCTTGAGTTTCTCTTACTGCTTTGGCGTAATCCTCGCTGGCTCCGTTACCATCACGAGGACAGTTCTTATTGCCACTGGCCCTTAGTACACAAGACAGCAGTGGGGAGAGGAGAGTGACATGAGAGAGGGCTTGGGGGTGATGCATGGCCACTGGCCAGGGCCAAGCCAAATGGTACTTCTGAGCTGAGGTGCCCACTTCTGGCTTCCATCCATGTACCCCACAGCCCTTTCAGTCCGGGTAGACAAAGTGATAATTACATTTGTTAGCATATATTGTTAGCTTGCATGTAGCACTTAGGAAGTGAACGCACATGGAAGTTACCACTAAACTATAGAATAATGTTGTATTCAGTGAGTTAAACGTATTAGCTTTATATTTATTAAAAAAGAAAACCTTAGTCTTTTAAATTTAACCTTTTAAAAAATTTATTTTAGTGAAAGTTTACAGAGACTTTGGCTTTCCATTCATTAGTTACACACTTTCCTCCCTTCCCACCCACCCCTAGTTCACTTTTCTCTCTGGAAAGTAAAAAAAAAACAACAACTTATGCTTCGTTGTTCTACAATCCCCCCCTGCCCCAGCCCACTCCACTATGCAGCTTTCATTCTAGACCCTGGTCATGATGATAATTAGTAATACCTAATCATATGTTCCTCCTAAACAGTTCTCTCCCTCAGCTGTTTCAGTGCATTATACATTATCCCCTCTTTTCTTAGTTTCCCCCCACCTCCGATGTCAGTCTCGCTTTACAACAGTGACACTGCAGTATTTGTCCTTTTGTGACTGAGATACTTCACTCAGCATAATGTCCTCCAGGGTCACTCATTTTGAATAATATTGCATAAGTTCCTTGTTTTTCAGTGCTGCATAGTATTCCATTGTGTGAATATATCACAGTTTCGCCATTCATTTGTTGATGGGCACTTGGGTTGTTTCTAAGTCTTTGCTATTGTGAACAAAACTGCAGTAAACATAGATGTGTATATATCTCCTTGGGTGGCAGTTCTGGTTTCTTTAGGGTATATTCCCAGTTGTGGAATTGCTGGGTCAAATGGAATTTCTGTTTCCAATTTTTTAGAAAGCGCCATACTGCCTTCCACAGGGGTTACACCATTTTACACTCCCACCAACAGTGAATAAGGGTTCCAGTTTCTCCACAACCTTGCCAGCATTTGTTGTTTGCTATTCTGCTAAATTTTGCTGTTCTTACTGGGGTGAGATGATATCTCATAGTAGTTTTGATTTGCATCTCTCTTAGAGTTAGAGATTTGGAACATTTCTTCATGTGTGTGTTCACCATCTAAATGTCTTTCTTCTTTGGTGAAGTGTCTGCTCATATCCTCTGCCCATTTTTCAGTTGGGTTGTTTTCCTTTGTCTTGTTGTGGTGTAACCTTTTTTATTTGATGTACTAAAATCTATGTACATGATACAGCCACTATGGAAGGAGGTCTGGTGCTTTCTCAAAAAGTTGGAAGTAGAACTACCGTTTGACCCAGCAAATCCACTATAGGGTATACACCCTAAAGAAACCAGAGCCACTACTCAAACAGATGTTTGCACATTCATGTTTATTGCTGCGTTATTCACATTAGAAAAGAGATGGAAACAACCCAACTGCCCATCAACAACCAAATGGTTAGAAAAACTATTGTATATTCACATAATGGAATACTATGCAGCACTGAAAAACAACCAACTAGTCAAGCATTACACAACATGGGGGAGCCTGGAGGACATGATGCTGAGTGAAATATTCTAGTCACAAAAGGACAAATACTGCATAACACCACTGTTATATAATAGGACAGATACTGGAGGTTTAGGAAAAGAGTGGGTGGTTAGTGAACATTGCATTAGAACAGATGAGGGGGTGAACTGTTCGAAAGGAATAATGATTATGCATTATCTGTATGACAACAGTCTGAAACAAGGGGCACATTGTGTGGGCTAGAGGAGAAGAAAATGTGCAACAACAAATAACTTTTAAAAAGTATATTAGGAGACTGTTAATCTATGCCGGATTATCATTTTCCCTTTCTCCCACCAACGTTTCCTGGTATCAAGGCTCATAGCTGTCCCCTAACCGTATCGTGGAAAGGCAGTCAGCCGGTGGGAAAGGGAGCACTTACTGGGCATCGCTGACACCATTCATGTTTTACTATTAGTTGAGTAATTATCCTATCTAGAATTATCTTGCATTGCCTAAATCATGTGTATATAGTGAATGTTACATAATATACCTGGCAGGTCTGTTTTAATTTAATTGAATAAAGATACAAATACTTTTTTGGCTATCATATATTAAATTATTATATGGGGGAAAAAAAGTATATACAAAGTCATTTAGATCCCTAGACTAGTAAAAGAAAGCCATCAGGACAATGATATATACAAACTCTAAGGGAAAAAATGTTTCCCCTTTTTTTAAAGTTTCAAATATCTTCCAATTAAATAATCCTTGATTTTAAGAAACTATTTCATGTATTCTACAAATAGGAAAGATTTTCTTTATTGTCATGTGAATTTTGACAGGAGGGGCAGTGTTGGGACATAAATGTATCCTGAATAATTTTCCATCATAGATCTGATTTTAAACTTTATCTGAGGGGAGGGAAATTTGAAGCAGCCTGTCTAGTTAATATCATTGGAAATATAAGCTGTTAATAAGAACTTCGGCTTGTCTGAACAGGTGGGTAACTGTTATACTTTAACACTTGTGCTATTCTGGTCTCATATACTGAAGGTTTATGGTTTAATCCACAAATATGTGGATCCTTTCAAATGCTGCACTCTTATGACAGATTTCTAGGTACTGGCATCAAAGTCTCCTATGAACAGAGGCAGAGATCAGCCTGTAGCTTCCTCAGCACTGACGTGTCTGTCGGGCAGATGGAGTTGGTGGAGTGCCTGTTCCCTGGTGACCCCCCTGCTGTCCCCCCTCACTACACAGAGGTGAGCCCAGGCCCCTCCTGTGGGAGGTGGTCTCCATTCTCTCTGTTTAAGGACTAAACAGAGCAGCAAATTTCCTAGAAAAGAAGCATTATTCGTATGTGTAAGGTTGTGTTTCATTTTAACATTTGTGTTTTATTAGAACAGATTTTTTTTATTGGTTTGCTTACTAAGTTTGTATACATTGTGTTTCACAGTATTCTTTATTCACATTGTGTTTCATACATTCTCATGCATTATCTTTTATAAAATTCATCACTTTTGGACCTTGCCCGTCATTACCCTGTCTTTTCGCTTGGATCTTCCCATTGCTTCTCCCCCCACCCACCCACCAAACCATGCAGCCCTGTGGTTTCACCCCTACCTACATAGGGTGTCAATGTGAGAGTCTGTTAGAATTTAGTTTATCAGTAAGTTGTTTGAGAGTAAGGAGCTCTGATGACATAGTGTGTTACAAATCAAGCTACTAACCACAAGGTCAGTGGTTCAAATCCATCAACCGCTTCAAGGGAGAAAGTCCATTCATAGAGCTTTACAGTCTCAGAACCAGGTAGACAGTTCGTGAGTCAAAGCCAGCTAAGGTGGGCTGGGGTGGGTGGGGTGGTTTAAAAGTGGCAGGTATTTCATAGAATAGATGAATTTTCAAAGTCCCTTTCATTTCAGAAGAACTCAATTATTATTTACGAAATGTGTACTGTGTGCTAAGCAATATTTAATCAGCCAGGTGAAATACTTACTTAGTATTAATCAGATTTTGTTCTCATCCTTTGAGTGTGCACCAGAGAAACTCCGTAGGTCTGTCCAGAACCCTTGTTGCTGCCCTGCCCTGTGAGCGGCCTCACTGCCAGAGTGCCCGCATGGCCACAGCCAGGCCTGTGAGGGCCTTGTCCTTCCCAGAGCCCTCTCTCCTGCATCACTGGTGTCTTTGTTTGATTGGTTCACTTGTTTGACTCAGTTATGGGACCCCTCGCTCACATTTGGCGGATGAGGTCCTATACATCAGGACCACCGGCCCTCATGTGGACAATTGGCATTGCTGGTGTGTGACAAAACTGGGACCACGCCAACTCTGACACTGACGTGCCGTGTCCATGACATCGCTCTCTGGCTGTCACTGCTGCCAAGCCAGAACCGGCTCTGAGCTCACCCTCAGCACATTTCTGAGGCTGCATCCCACCAAGAGGTTGCCCAGTTTTCTCCTGTAGAGTCTTCGGTGGATTCGAACCACCAGAGATGCACTGCCTTCAGGTAGCACAGCTCCCTACAGACGTGAGGAGCTAAAGTCCCATGTGCTGCACTCACCTCACTCTTTGTTTTTCAGCTTTTAATGTTCCATTCCAAAGAAGGGGCCGATTCGCACGGCCCTATGTGCCTTCAGCTGCATTGCAAGCACTCGGAGAGCAGGGGCCCCCAGGTGAGCTTCTGCTTGGCCCGCCCTCACGGAGCTTTCATACTGCCAGACCAAGGGGTCCTAGAGACCGAGGGGTTGTTCATGGGTCTATTTATACCTCCTTCTTCTTTCTTTTTAAAAGGGCAGTCAAGCAAGACTTAGTTCAGTTCCTCAGAAAGCCGAACTACAAATTAAATTAAATCCTGTCTTTTGTGAACTGGATATCAGTATTGTGGACAGGTTAAACTCCTTGCTTCAGCCACAGAAACTGACCACCGTGGAGATGATGGTGTCGCACATGTACACGTCATACAACAAGCCTGTCAGTCTGGTGAGTGCGTGTACTGACCACTGCTGCCCCAACTCTGATTACTTGCCATCTAACTGTTGGTAAGCTTGGCAGGGCTCTGAGCTGGGAAAGCTGAGAGCCAGAGACTTGCTCCCACGAAGGTGGTGGTGGTGGTGGTGGTGGTGGTGGTGGTAGTGGAATGCAGGGCCACACACACTGTGTGTGATAGAAGGACACACCACCCAGACCCTCACCATCCTCACAGCCCCTGCCAGGCAAGCCCATTGTCACAGCGGTGTGTCAGGATGTCTCGTGGAGGGAGGGTCTGCTTTCGCACTGACCCTCTCCTTTACAAAGCATAGTGTACTTTTCTGGAGATTGGCCCTTCCAGTAGGGGGAGAAGTTGTTGTTGATTGCCATCGAGTCGAGCACTACTCATAGCAACCCGATGAACAAAAGGCCTGAAGCCTCTGTAACTATTGACATTTATCAAAGTTCTTAGAGTTTACAGAGGCGGGTTGTTTAGGAAGTGGATGTTGCTCTTGCTTCAGGGGGAGAAGAGATTGTTGAGAAATGTGAGTCTAGTGAGGAGAAGGAACTCCAGTGTAGGACGTCAGGATGTTCTAAACCTGAAGGAGTTTTGCCTCCTATCGTGGACTGTGGACCAGCACTTTGTGGATCTCAGTACCTTTTACAGGGGAAATAGACTTGACTTTTCTTGAAGAGCCTGAGCTTTGATCCTGTGTTTCCATGGACCATGGGCAGGCGTTGCAAGCCTGGTTTGCTTTCTAGGGGTCTGCCGACGCCCACCCCCTAGGCTGCGTTGGCCTTCAGGGGTGGTAGTTTTGTGAGTATTTGCTTAGGGCCTTCTTCTGGAAATAGGGATAATTAAGGAGTAAGCTTTCCCACTCTCAAAATTCATCTAGTGTCACTTGAATCATTAAACATGTTAGTAGGTAAATCCTTTACATTGTAAGTTGGGTCCTATCATCATTTTTAGCCATGTTCTCAAAAGGTTAATTTACGTGTTCACTATTCTTATTTAAAGTGTAGCAAGATAGATATGCAGGCATAATGCCTGCCTGTGTCCTTGCTCTGCTTCAGTCTTTACTTTTAACGTATTTTACATGAAGGTTTAACTTCTGTTTTTAATCTGGGTTTTGCCTGTAGTTGTTATACTATAAAATTTCAGAACACCAAATTAAAAGGGTAGTGGTTATTTTGGATTGCATTTTAAGGTGTTATGCCGCATGGAGAAATTGTGATTGTACACATCTTAGTTATTGAATAGTGATCTCTTTTATGTTTATTTGTATAATTTAATAGCTTACATGTTTCTTTTGCATTTCAGCACAAAGCTTTCACTGAAGTGTTTCTGGACGATTCTCATAACCCTTCAGATTATCGGGTGTCTGTCCACGTCAGCACACCGGCATTAAACCTTGCCATTCGCTTCCCAATTCCTGACCTTCGCTCAGATCAAGAAAGGGGAGCGTGGTTCAAGAAGTCACTTCAGAAGGAAGTCCTTCACTTAGCCTTCACAGACCTAGAGTTTAAGACAGAATTCGTAGGAGGGTCAACTCCGGAACAAGCCAAATTGGAGCTCACCTTTAGAGAGCTAGCTGGTAAGAAGGAATGGGCCTAAGAGCAGACTTTGTCCGAAGCATCAGCTGCTAAAGAGAGCAGCAGGCCGGAGTAGTGTGCCAGAAACCCCCCAGGAAGCAGGCCTGAAGAGATGACCTGCTGTGGCAGGCCTTCTGTTGGCCAGCACACTGTTGTCTGCAGTGCTGGCTGGTCTTGACTGTGGCCCGTTGCCCCGATGGGTGCCCACCTCCCGCCCCCCTTGTCCTGACTCCTGCCGTGTGGTTGTTATGTGCATGCATTGATCCTCATTCCCAAGGGCTCTGATTACTGACCAGGTGGACGGAGTGCTGGTTTGGGAGGAGGTGTCTTCCAGGGTGACGTGGTTCTAAGCAGCAGAGCGAGGCTCGCTCCGTGGACGCCTCTGCAGCGGAGCTTGTGCCGTTGTGTCCACTCTGCTGCCCGCCCCTGGTGGAGCCTCCTGGCTTCTCTGTAGGGCTGTCTTTATCAGCTGAGGGGGAAAATAGGGAGACTTGGAAGGGACCAAGTGGACATCACTCCAGAGGAGTGTGAGTGTTCCTCCCGTGGTCTCTGGCACTGGCCCCTCTGGGGACTGGGCGCCAGATGCTCCTGACCGTGACACCTGCCGAGGTCTCTGATCTTCAGAAGTGACTTGCTTAGGTGGACCTCCAGGACAGGAGCAGTAAGGCTTCCCTGGTCACCTGCTGAGGTTCTCTGATCTTCAGAGGTGTCTCGCTCAGGTGGACCTCCAGGACAGGGACAGTAAGGCTTCCCTGGTCACCTGCTGAGGTTCTCTGATCTTCAGAAGTGACTCACTCAGGTGGACCTCCAGGACAGGAGCAGTAAGGCTTCTCTGGTCACCTGCCGAGGTTCTCTGATCTTCAGAAGTGACTCGCTCAGGTGGACCTCCAGGACAGGGGCAGTAGGGCTTCCTGGTCACCTGCTGAGGTTCTCTGATCTTCAGAGGTGTCTCAGTCAGGTGGGCCTCCAGGAGAAGGCAGTAGGGCTTCCCGGGTCGCCTGCTGTCTCCGCACAGCCTTCCATCTGCCCGCACCTGAACATCAAGTAGGAACACGTGAGGGAATGTTTAGAATGGCGTGCTGTGTGGTGTCACCTGGTTAGTGCGAGTGCTGAAGGAAATGCCCTTCCGTTCACCAGCCTTGTTTCATCAGGGTCATTCCAGGAGGAGAAGGGAGGACCGTCCATGAAGTTCTTCCACGTGTCCAGCAGGGTGGATGGAGACGTGGCATCATCAGATGACTTTGACTGGCCACGGTGAGTAAGCAGGGGTAGAACACCAGCTGCTGGTGAGGTGTTCCTTCCACAATAAAATGCTGACATTTGTCTGTTAAAATGAAATTGATACTTGGGAGAACCCAGGGGAAGATGGACAGGTCACACCAGCACTGAGTGCTCCCAGTACATGTGGAGCGTGCTCTGTGAAGAGTGTATGCGGCAGGTGGAGGGCAGCCTGCACCACAGTGTGCGTGCTAGAAACCGGAGACCAGTGGGAGCCCCAGAGACTGGGGAGACCGGCCTGAGTGACCATGTG